CCCCCCCCCCCCACACACACACATATATTTAAATTACTTTTTTTTACGCAGGTAACAAAAATAATCATTTTGACGTTAATTGACATACACTTGACGTCAATATAACTACTATTGCTACGTGGGTATATCTCTTTCAGGTGCTATTGATGGTTCTCACATTAGAATAGACAAACCTATGAAAGATCCCGATTCTTATATTAATCGGAAACAATATTATTCTATTCATATGCTAGGAACAGTTAATCATAATATGAAATTTATAGATGTATTTATTGGATATCCAGGTTCTGTTCATGATGCAAGAGTTTTTCGAAATTCAACAATACGTAATGATCTACATGAACTTTGTGGAGGTAAAGTGAAAGTAAATAATGTCAGAAAAAATGATTTATACCAAACTTCATATAACAAAACTTAGTTTCTTAATATTAAATTATAATACTTTTCAGATAATTATTATTTCTTAGGCGATAGTGCTTATCCTTGTTTGAAACAACTGATTGTTCCATATAAAGATAATGGACATTTGACACGTGCACAAAGGATATTCAACCAGCAATTAAATTCATGCAGAGTTATTATCGAAAATGCATTTGGATGTCTCAAGCAAAGATTTCGTCAATTATATCATTTCAAATTGCGAGATATAGTACGAATGGTGCGTGTCATACACGCATGTTGTGTATTGCATAATATAGCTAATTTACAAGAATTAGAATACTTTTGTAACGATGCATTCCCCCCATCGTTACTAAACCGTACCCGGCCGCCGATCCGCCGGAAGTCCGCCGCCCGACGAACACCGGTCGGGCAAATGCGGAGGCGCTGAGCGCCCATTTTTAAAGAATATCAGAAACGCGTAAACGTATAACCGCCGTTAGGCGCGCGAAAACATCGAGAGCCGACGCCGCGCTCGGGTAACCGCCCGACCGTTACCGAAAATACCCGAGTCGCGCGCGCCGGTTCAACGATAAACCAGATACCGTTAGAACAATAGGCGAATTACGCAGACGCGCGCGCCGAAAACCGGTATAAATAGAGCGCGTTTCTGAACATCGGGACCAGATCTTCCGCACCGCCAGAGTCTGTAAGACGCCTGGAAACCGACTAGATCCTTAACCGCTCAGAGAGAGAGAAAACGGGGTTGGGTGTACTCAGCCTCCGCCGAGAGTTTGCGGCATCTCCGAGAGCGATCCGTCCGAAACCTTTAAAGAGAGGCAAACGGGAACGGGCGTACTCGTCCCCGTCGAGAGTTCTCGACACCTCGAATTAATCCGACCACCTGCGTGCAACGGCGATCTTCTAGTGGTGGGGAGTTCCCTGCCATCGACGGGTGTTCTCGTCGACCGTTGCACTCCCGAAATTCCACGGGGAAAGACCATCCCGACGTAATACGGAACGCACTATACGCGCTTAGCTAAGACATCCGCGACCGCCATTTAGTTATCCGGACTCGCTATTGATACGGCGCGCTAAGTCCCTCGCCGGGGGATGATCCACATCCCTACCGCGACACCGATCGACATACGCGATCAATACCTACGCGTCGAAGGACCGCCCACCGGGCCGACCGAAATTACCGCCCGATAGATAACGGCCGAAATCGCTGTCCGCGATCTATAATCGATATTCTATCGATCCGCCGAAATCGCGCACCGCGCAACGCATCCGTGCGTTGCATCGAATGCACCGCCCCGATACGACCGCACCACGATCCGTTCAGCATTGCATACGCATGTATATAATATCTAAATTCAACCGATTATAAGCATTTATACATCGCACACCGCCGTATCGCCGTAC